ATAGTTGGATAATAAACCGTTTTATTGTAATTTGTCTTTTTAAATTATTTTGAGTTGATATTAAAATTTGGAAAAGGGGGATCCCTAGATTGGTTAAAATAGGCGAATTTCCTCCTACAACTTCAGTTGTTGTTCGGGATACAGTTAAGGTTTTAACAAAGTTTGAGCGAATACATAATTAGCAAAAAAAAAGTTGAAATAAAGTGATTAAACAAAAATTATTACAAATATCGTAAATAACAAATGCATATATAGAGATATTTTTTGGAGGAGGGAAATGGTCTTCACAATTTGAAATTGATTGAACACGCAGTGTATCGTTTACACATGCGCCATCTATCATAGGATAAATGTACTATTCCAGAAACCTTTGCGGGAGTATATTAAACAACTTCCCAAAGTTTCACAGCAATTGGATAAACAGTGTGGTAATGCATGAAGAACAGACACACACACATACATTCATTTTTATATATATAGATAATATTGACTCCTTAATATTGTCTATCATATTTATTTCTTAAAATTTACAAAATTTAAGAAAATTCTGAAATTGACAATACAAAAAAGTGTCTTCTTACTTGTCCTTTCACACACTCATCAGGAAAATTATAGTTCCATGGCACCTCACCTTTTATTTGAGGTTACTTGTCCACCTCAATATGTAAAAACATTGAAAGATTCCTCTGGCAATGGCACAATATTAAAAAATAAATACATTTAAATCAGGGCAAAAATTTTTAACCTTTACAAAATTTAAGAAAATTCTTAAATCATTTTTACATATTGAGGCAGATGAGTAGCCTCAAATGAAAGATTGACTTCACCATGGAACTTTTTTTCATGAGCATGTGAAAGGACAAGTGAGAAGATACATTTTTTTTTGTATTGTCTATTTAAGAATTTTCTTAAATTTCATAAATTTAAAAAAATTTTTGTTGTGGCAATTTTTTTTAATCAGATATATTTATTTCTCTCATTTTCACATGGGGTCATCTCATTTATGCAACTGTGTATAATTTTTATTATTACTAATGATCATAGTCAATCTTTCTGTAAGTCACACATCATTTTTAAAAAAAAAAGGTTACAGGTTTAAATGCAAACACGTTGTTATGAGATTTGACTTTATCAAATATTTGCAATGTTTTACTATTGAGATACTTCTGTAAAGAACAAAATAAATAGTAATTCAATGATGCAAAANCAATCAATCAATCAACATTTATTTGCTATGGCTTTCGCCTTTGCAAAGGGGTTACAAAATCGTGTAGCGTTAATAATACAAAGATTGTTATACATGGTTTCAAAAAGAACAACAACACAAACAATAAATGATAATGACAATAAAGCCTAATTAAAATTTAAAAAAATTTTTGTTGTGGCAATTTTTTTTAATCAGATATATTTATTTCTCTCATTTTCACATGGGGTCATCTCATTTATGCAACTGTGTATAATTTTTATTATTACTAATGATCATAGTCAATCTTTCTGTAAGTCACACATCATTTTTTAAAAAAAAAAAGGTTACAGGTTTAAATGCAAACACGTTGTTATGAGATTTGACTTTATCAAATATTTGCAATGTTTTACTATTGAGATACTTCTGTAAAGAACAAAATAAATAGTAATTCAATGATGCAAAACCTGATAAATAAGTATTTCCCAACCAAAGTCTTCAATTTCTACAGAATTGTTGCTTGTTTTTGTAGGATTTTCATTGCCATAAGTGGTTTTGCATTATCCTTGTAAAAAAATTAAACTATTTCTGTTTACTGAATTTGGCATTAACACATAACAGATCATTTAATTAAATAAATTAAATGATCTGTTATGTGGTAAGTACAATTAGAATTAATTGTTTCATCAGATTTAAAACATTGATAATATACAATTTTTTCTTAATCCCACTAACTGTTGTTAGTGGGATTTATCAAATTTAAAGCTGTTATAATATAGCAAAATCTTATTTTGTTACAAGCTAGTCTTTGCTGTCAATAATGGTGCTTTACTCTTGGTAAGGCAATACTATTGTGTAATACCCACTTTTTGCCACTAATCTTTTTGTTTTAAAAATAAGTGACTTTTTGGCATGATGATAAAATGTTGCAAGCATTGAATTTATCAAATAAATCTTTCCCTGATAGCACTTTGACCAGAATATCCACTGTACACAAACATGTCGCTGTGTTTGTGTACAGTGGATATTCTGGTCAAAGTGCATTTAGCCTAGTGGCCCCATCTGCACAAAATGTGTTTAATTTTGAAATAATTTTAAGTTTATGCAAATGATACAAAATGCTGAATGATTGGCATAATTTTTTTTGTCATTTTTCAGGATGTTAGTCTTGGTTTGTTGTCACTATTTTCTTTAAACATCATTACCAATTACAAATCAGAGCAAGGTCATCACTTAAATCAAAATCATCAGAATGGAGCTTCAACCAAAGTTGGCATGTTCATTTTCTTATCACATATTCAAAAAATATTTGTTATGTAGTTTTTGCATTCATTCCTCTTTAAAACTCAAAATATAATTGATTAAAAGTACACTTTATTAGAAACCATTCTCTTATAAAGAGTTGGTTTTACAATATTGAATTTTACCAGATGGTACAGTACATTGGCAGTAACTATCATATAAACTTATAAGATATAATAATGCCTAGGTCCTAACTTTGAATTAAACTTTGAAAATGAAATTACTTTTGCATCAATTCAATATATTGACTTAATTTATATCTTGAACGATAACATGGTAATATTCAAGGATTTATCAAATTTAAAGCTGTTATAATATAACTATGTTAAAATCTGTAGTTAAACAAGATGTTAGAATAAGAATATCATTATTATGCAAAGCACCATCAATAATAATGTTTGTAGTGTTTCCTTGTTTATTATTTTTATTATATAGATCAAATACAGTTGACCCCCCTATAACACTGTTGATTATTTTGTTTTATATGAATTCCCTGTTGTACGAGTCACTTAGATTTTACAAATATGTGAGCCGTTCATAGCCCGGCACATGTATTTGTAAAATCTAAGTGACTTGTACAACAGGGAACTCATATAAAACAAAATAATCAACAGTGTTATAGGGGGTGGACTGTATTTTTATAATACATGCACACTTAAAAGATCATCATAAATAAAAATTGATAAACAGTTCAATATTATTGATATCACGATATTTAGAATATAATACAGTCGACCCCCCTATAACACAGTAGATACGTTCCGCTTTTTATGAAACTCATGTTGTATGAGTCCTTAAATACATGAGCCAATCACAGCCCAGCACATATGCAGTTTACGGACTATGGCTGTTTGAAAGGTTTTCTTCCATAAAATTAATCGATTCTAGACTAATTTGACTCAACATTTCCAAAACACGTATAATTTTTTGGGAATAATCCATATAAACTATGCTATAAACAAAAAATTGTAGGATTACTTACCGAGTGTGCATATCGTTCGACTACACCATTGCTAAGCTTGTTTTCATCATGGAGCTTGTCATCGAATGGCACTTGCGTGCTTCCTGATAAATTATTTATTTTTCGAAAAATTCGCTGAACTTTGGAGACATCATTAATATAAATATAATTTTTACGGACGTTAAATAATAAATGGTTTTTGGTAGGTCTGCTGCTCATTTAAACTCAACGGTTTGTGCAATATCCGCTATTGGTCTAGATTCGACCAATCCTGTTGCGACATGAGTCGGTGATGATGTTTTACCATATTTTACGAGTTTCTTTTAGCGTCTTTATATGAATACAGTCACAATTTTTTCACCGCTATATACGAATCCGCATTATATGAACCCGTTTTATAGGGGGGATCTACTGTACTCATTTTTAGCTTTCAAATTTCATTACAAATTAAAGATAAAATCAGTTTTATCATTTTATATATATTTTGCATGTATGTATTTTTTTTATGTATTGTTAAATTGTATGTGAAATAACTATATTTCTAATTTTAATCAAAGTATTTAAAATTTTGTTTCTTTAAATATTTATTTTATTTTCTTATTTTAATAGTAAAACAAGATATTTCTTTACCTATTAATAATCCTGAATTACCAAATGGGCATTCTGAATCATCACCAAAGAGAACAGAGGTAAGATTATCTTTATAGACATACTTTGCTGTAGAATATTTCAAAAAATTTCTGGTTTCATTTCTTAATCTTAAATGTTATGTAAATTTAATAAACTTTACTCATATTTTTTTAATAAATCAATGATTAGTTTGTAGCAAATTTTCCACCAGATATGAATTTGTTTTTGAACATATTGTTGCTGAATAATTAGAAATTTTATCATTCATAAAATGATGTATGCTTTCTGGAAAAATAACAGTTGTTATTACTAATCCATCTGAGATAGGTCTGTCTTATTATTATTTTTCTAATAGCAAAAGAACTGTTTTAAAAATGTTATTTTGGAATGCAAGTCATTGCAATTTCTTATTTGTAAGCAATTACTGCTTACAAAGAAGAAATTGCAATTATTTTAATAATGTTAATAAAAATTTTTGAATGTATTCCTCATGGTTTTATGTGATGGAAAAATTGAAATGACAGAGAATGCTACAATCAACTAAATTCATAATTAAAATAACTATATTGAGAAACTTTCATGACGACCTGTATTAAAACTTGTTTAAACTTTATCTACATGTATTATTATAAATACATATGTAGATTCTGTTAAAAAGAATAAATTGATCTACAAACTTTTCATAAAATTAGTATTTATGTAAAGAAAATACAGTGGTACCTTGGTATACGTCTGCTTTAGAATACGTCCAATTCGGAATACGTTCTGTTTGGACGAAACAAATTTTGCTCGGTATACGACATAATTCAATTATATGTGCCATCAATGAACAAGTAGCACTATCGGTGTATTAGACCAGACTAGACGTTCGTGATGCAACAGTTTATAACTTTGTTAAATTTCTTCTGATTTTAATTCGTAAGTAAAATTTTATTATTTTTATTAATCACGAATCGCAAAAAGGCAAATGAAAAGCGACAGAAAACTTAAAAAAATGACTGGAATTACAATGGAACTGATGAAAGAGATTGTTGAGAAATACGAAGGTGGTACGCGTATTCGAGATTTTAACTGTTGTTTACCGTATTCCGAGAACGACGATATGGACAATCGCGAAAAATAAAGACATTATTAAATCTGCTAACGTTGCGAAAGGGGTTAAATCAATTTCTAAACAGAGATCGAAGACATTAGATCATGTCGAGAAATTGCTTTTGCTTTGGATAACTGAAAAACAGTGCTGGAGACAGCGTATCGGAAGCAATTATTTGCGAGAAAGCTAAAAAGATACACGCTGATCTCACGAAAAATCAAGCAGGAACTAGCCAGGAAAGCGAGGTGTTTAAAGCCAGCCATTTTTTTTACACGAGAACGGATTAATCATTTTTACATTACTTCTTATGGGAAAGGTTGGTTTGGTATACGTCCAATTCGGTATAAGTCTAAATATCGGGAACAGATTAAGGTCTTATACCGAGGTTCCACTGTACTTGCATTTCAATTAGTTTTTGTTGCAGATTGGTAGCTGGAAAATATATATTAACAAAAGAAGGAAACATTAAAATCATTATTACATAAACATGAAAATTAGAATTATAATTATTCATTTAATTAATGTATTTGTATATTGAAAAATACCATCTAAAAAAACAAAAAGTTTTAATACATTTTTTTAATGATAATGCCGTTGTGCTTTATTTAAATTATTTCAGATTTTGGATCCAGCTCCAACAGCTGACATAGACAGGTCAAACGATCCTGTATATGAATGTACTACAAATGTGGTCAGAGCAATTATGCATTTGTCTCAGGGAGTGCAACAGAGTCGTCACACTGAATATTTGGATCTAGTCAAAGTAAATTGATATTATTTTACAAATACAATGTTTGAAAGTATTAAATAACTAATAAATGAAAATTATATTTAAATAGCAAGTAGGATTAGAATTGCGGGGACTATTGGGTAGTGTTGATCAGCTTGTCACAAATTTTCCACCAGATACACATCGAGAAGTAAGCAAAAATCAAATAGCTATATTTTTATATTTTTAGTTATAAATTTTATCAGCTATTTTAATTAACTTTATTTACAGATTGAAATGGCTCATAAAGTCTTAAGCAAAGATATGGCTAATTTAGTACAGGCAATGAAATTAGCTCAGAGATATTCTAGAACAACTTTAGATGCAGAATATAGGAAGGGTATGCTTTCTGCTGCTCATATTTTAGCTATGGATGCCAAGAATTTATTGGATGCTGTAGATTCCGTACGTGTTCAAATTCGACCCATTGTAAAAGATGAAGATGGAACTCCTGATGGAATGCCAGAAATTGCCTCTGCCTGCCAGGAAGAGGAGCAAGTGATTATATCTGATGGAGTGAAAGAGAAACTTCAACATTCTCCTACAGAAATTAATAGTACTACAGTTAATCATGAAGTGGATTCAAAGAAATCAATTCCTCAAATGACGGGTGTGAACTGTGATGTCACCTGAATTATATTTTTTCTTTAATTTTGACAAGAAAGATCGGGCCGAGAGAAAATGGGACGGAGCGACCAATTTAAATCTCCAATGTACAGCAATTAGCACCCTTTATCTTTAAATGGTTCCGTCGTTTCATGGTCAACATCCTGTATATTGTAGGTAGAAACTAGTCAGTTTTCTTTCACTCTTACATTTTTCCTAAATTTTGTTGCCGAACAGTCAATTACTAATAAAAACAACACTCCATTTATAATTGGTGCTGGTAAGTGCTGTTAAATAAGATAGAATAAAACAGAAGAACATGCAGTGTACTTTTTGTCCAAAGATGCTATTGGTAACAATAAACAACAAAATAATAAAAACTATTGTTTCTAAACAATAAAAAAATTATATATATAATACTTTAATGTAATTTTATATGGAATTTAAATGATAAATTTTATGTTCCAAATGACATTCTTCCTATAAAATTTCACACAAATCTTTAAGAAATATTAATATTTTTTTCTTTAAAAATTTTAAATTAATTTTAATATGTAATTTGCTCTTTACAAGTTAAGCTATATACATAAATTTTCCAAAATATTGGCAAAAGTCAATTGTTATAATTTATTTCAAATGAGTATAGTTCCTTTGTTGTGTGTGTTACATATATGTCTGTGTGTATTATATTATATGCATACATACATATATATAAAATTGTTTTTATAAGCATACATTTAAAACTTAATGTATTGATGAAAAACAAAAAAAACAGTACAAAGCTTATTCATATACATATATATAGGTCTACGTAAAGAAGCAATTTAGCTATTAAAGCGAAAGGTTCTTTAAAATATACTTTTATTGGTTATTCTTATTAAATTACATTTTATATTTGTTTTCTCTTATCTTATAATGAATTCTAAATTTTTAATAATAAATTTAGAATTTAACAAAAAGGAAAACAAAAATTAGTATAAGTATCCTACAATATGTTAAAAAAAGAAATTATGAAATAGTGAAAAGAAGAGAGTAAAGGAAAGTTTGTAATTTTAAGAATTCAATAATTGTAATCATGATTAATTTTAAAATGGAAATCAAAATAAAAAAATTATCGGCGATTGTGTAGACAATTGAAATTAATTTCAAAACCTTTGTTATAAACAAAAATTATCAAAAAATATAACCACTACATTTTAGGATAAATTTGATACAATGTGTCGAAACATCTCACATAAAATTTCTACAGTCTTTTGTGGTTTATCATTGCGGATTAGTTTGACCCTTATAAAAACAAAAGTATATAGTTATGTGAATGGAAACGGTTGCTTAATTAGTATTCGATAGGGTCCATATCCAGTGTGATTATGAATCAAACAATGTAATAAGTGATTGTTATAATCTAGGTTTGAAAAGAATGATGTCAGATTGACTTATTCCTTAATTTTGTAAGTTATTTATGTGATGTCTTTTTTTCTTGATTGTTTGCTTCATTTAATTAATAAGAATCTCTTGCACATTTTTAATTATATTTACTACCAAGCCATTGTGTACTATATTTGGACTGGTAATAATTTATTGATATTTAATTTTTAGCTGATTGGTTTAGTTATACATAGATATATGTATAATTATATACACACATATAAATATTTTAGTTGATAAATAGTTAGAGAGTTGCAAAGAAATGTTTTTATAATATTCTGTAAAATAATATTTTGATAACTAGTAACTTTTGTACTGTTTGTAAAGGCTTCTCATACAAATTTTTGAAATGTTTGCTCATGGTATGCCAGTTATTCCTACAGAAAATAATACTTTTTACATTAAATAAATACATTATATTTCTTTGATGTTAATAATAATCTTAATTATTAGTTAAATATTTTTTGTACATATTATATATATATAGTTTTTAATTTTTTTATACACTATTAGTGTTTTTTGTTAAATGTATGGAAATCAGCTGGCAGCAGTTCTGTTGATGATGTGTCTTGAGTGTTATTGGCCTTATATTACAAAAAATATTACGTTCGGCAGATGAAGAGATATACAGAACTACGAACAAGTTTTATTTTTTGTGAGATATTTCCTAATTTTAATGTTCATTTCAATAAAAATTTGAAAATAATGTAAAGTATACATCGTGTATAATATAATGTCTTTTGTTTCCCTCCTACTTATGAATCTATTAAATAAAACAAATTATACTTCTCCAAATTGGATTTTTATTTTGTACATGTAGTCAGTAATCTTATAGTTTGCTTTAATTTAAATTCAAATGAAACTAAACAACAAAATTTAAAGTAGTCTAAAATCAATGTTTAATAAGTTAAAAGCTATTAAATTAAGATTACATTATATTTAGTGAATTAAAATTAAGTGATATTGAGCTCAAAATATTACTCTAAGAGTATTAAATAATGAGATTAATGCAATTACAGTATTTTATGAAAATATAAGTTTTGTTCTCTTCAACATATAGCCTTACCCAGGTATCCAAATTCCTGCTATAATGAATGCTGTATTTTTGCACCTGTCACAATATCCGAATCAAAAAATCCCAATATTAAAAATTTATTCAAAGCACATTTGTTAAAAATTCAAAAGTCATTCTAGTGAAAATGGGAAGTAGGCGATGATACTGTTCTTAGCATCTGTTTGTTTAATTGGTTAGGGTTTAGAGAGAGAGGCTATAAATTTTTCCATTAATATAAATAATGTAAAACACTCAAGTATGAAAATTCTCATGTTGAATTGTTTTCGGGAATGCATTAGATTTAGATAACATCGCTGTACTTCTTACTTGTATTGATATCTATACGTTACTGCATTTTCACTTGCCGTTGTTTGAAGCAGTGCTGCATTTCAAGTTATGTCGATGCTTTCAGCAGATTCATTGTTTTCTTTTTCACCTGCTCTATACATCCAAATTTGATTTCTGTTAAGAGGCTCAGTACCTCAATAGATTCCACCACAACGATACCACCTGCCAGTGTGACAGTGGCGCTATAGAGGATCCTCTGCACTTCATCTTTGAATGCAACCTCTACGACACACAGAGAACTCAACTTATCCATAAAGCCCTCATTGAAGGACTCAACTGGCCCTGCACGCCCGATCTCCTCATCAACAACAGCGCCACTTACAACGGACTCACCGAATTTATTCGGGAAACCGGCGCTTTGAATCCAGATTTCACCGACCAAAATCAGGCAAAGGACTCTTGACAGGATAGGTGACCTCTACACCAGGGGCTTCGGCAAAACCGACGAAACCAGCATCAGACACTAATTCTTACCATTCTCATCGCCTCTGCCCTTATGTGGCTTTCAAATGAACTTTGTTTACGTGATTGGTACGGGTGCTCGTTATTTTCGACTGTTACCTTCCACCCTTTGTAAATTGTAATGTGGCTCATTAGCAGTAAATTATCTGTTTTTGTATCTAGCCATATGTTTGTACGCCGGCATTCAACTACTACTACCATTGTGCTATAATTATGTATTTGTTTGTACGCGGTAACCCTGTCCCGTTATTGTAGTCTTTTTGTGACAGGGCAGTTTGTTTTTACCGTTCCTGGATCAAGCTATTTTTACCATCCGCTCCTGGACGGTTTAATATAACTGTTACTGTTTCTTGCAACCAACTGGTGTATCTGCTCTGTTACTACACCTTTTGTAAAGGAATAACGATTCCATTCTACCGGTACACTACCTGTTTAGTGTCTATATTACTGCCGTGATTTAACGTTATATTGTAACCAGAGCCGTTCTGTAAAAATGAGTAGCCAGTATTAATACCTTAAGGAAACCATACACCCTGCTGGTAAATGTTACGCGCTATCTGTTGTTCCACCCCATTGCTTATGTACAGTACCTCCACTCCCATGCACCTTTTTGTAACTATCACCACTTTCAACTCCGGTATTTATAATTGTTCTGTAACCAGAAAGCTTTTTGTTCATATGTAACGCGCCATAACTATTTGTGCACTTTCTTTTGTATCCTGTATATGTATCATTATATTTAACTGTGTTGTGTTGTTCGCGATGACGGTCTCTCCCATCTTCACCATCTTTCCTATCACGCTCACTCTCTCATCCATTCTCTCTCTTTTTTTTTTTCTTCACCCCAGGCGATACCTCCGAGTAGTCATGGTCTTCCTCGCCCCTTTCATTATAAAAATATTAACAAGCTTTCACTTTTGGAAAAATAAGAAATCATACAGAGCTAAATTGTGTAAGGCTGACGCTCAGTACTGTCACAGTATTTGTCAATTAAAACTGCTTAAAAGAAAGCTTATGAGGTGGCAGCCGTAGAGAATCTTCCACAGTTCTATAAAAGATTCTCTACGGCTGGGACAGCAATGAATGCCATGGAGAATCTTCCACAGAACTGTGACTGTGTTTTGAACCTTAGGATTCTATTGGTACACTTATGTGCAGCTCATCTGGTCGTCTATTTGCTGTATCTGTGTGTACCAATGGATACCGATTGGTTTTTGTAAAAAATCGGACGACACTATACCGTTCTTGTTTCGTGCACTGCTGGAGAGGTGTCGCCCATTTTATTCATCCTTATGTTTTCGCGCGTCAACAATATTGTCAGTTGAAGTTACTGTTACCTATGACTTGGAAGTTCCGTGTGTCAAAATTTCTACGCTAATGATCATCCTCCCGACTTTCAATAGAAAACCGGAAAAGTGTCATTAAACGCCTTATAATTATGTTTACTCACTACGTTATTGGGCAGTAATGCCAAAATAAAATAAAAATGGCAATTAAATTCAATCGCCATTTTTTTGTTTGATAATTGCAAACTTCAATAATAGAAAACTTTGAGTTAAAATATGTTTCATGTAGATATATCTTATGTACATCATTGCGAAGAACTGAAAAGACTCTATTAAGGTTTAGAAACAGCGCAAAACCATTGCGTTTAAAATTTTAACTGTCTCGGTCATTCTGCCGTCTTATTTTAAGAGTTCAACCTAGCAATCCGGGCGGTTGAAAAATCTCAGGAATTTTTCGGGGTTAGCCTATCCTAGATATGTCGGGTTCCTTCCCTCATCGTCTTGCCTGAAACTTATGACAAGTGTGATTAAAATGACGCTGTTAGTACTGGCGGGAAGAAGAGGATCTTTAAAATAAAACTAAATATTTTAAGTCCATCATCTTAAATGGTGAAAATCGGTGAGTAATCATATCAGCAAAATGTTTAAAAACATTCCCCTTAAAATGAATTTTTATTAAAAAATAAAGTTTTTATATCTGGAAATAATTTATATAAAATATATCATGAATATTTTATTTTTAAAATTAATTCAAATATTACTTTCTTTTAAAATTAGAGCAACTGCGTTATATAATTTGGCACAGATCCCGTTAGTTCGGCCAACTAATGATGTAAAGGGGAGGAATATATACGAAAACGGCGAAGGTCAACTTTTTACAGTAGTGAGCGCAACTGTTGGCAAATGATCAAGTGACCGTTGAATCATTAAAATGAGACTACGATGTCTACTATTATTAAAACGTAAGTTTATTTAGTACGTGATCTTGCTAATTTTTAAATTGAAATCTTTAAAATGTGGCAGAATGTATTATCAAGTGTTGAGGAAAGAGTGTCTTACATAATGCTTTCTCACGACTTTTCCGATATTTCTCTAATAGTCGGACCTCCTAATTATTGTAAAACGTTTCCTGCTCATAAACTGATTTTAGCCATGTCTAGTTCTGTTTTCGCTGCTATGTTTTATGGTGCTCTGCCCCAACAAGGGAATGAAGTGGAAATTCCAGATACGGATCCGGATTCGTTCCAGATATTTATCCGGTATTTATACCCATTCTTTATCATTAGAATGATTCTACGATCTTATAGTTATCATTAGTATCGCTGTTTTTTCAGTTTTGTGTATACAGATCAATTGGATTTACAAGATACAGACCAAGCCATCGCAGTTTATTGGTTAGCCGAAAAATACATGGTTACGAAGTTGAAAACAATGTGCTGTAAGTATTTATCCGATCATCTACTTCCCGAAAACGCCTGTCAAATCTACGAATTAGCCAAACTGGGAAATTGTCATCCTTTGATGTTTCGAGCTTGCAGATACATCGTTCTGAACGCTCAATCCGTCGTCGAATCCGCATCAATTGAAAATATTAATAGAGAAACGTTACAATGGATAATCGGTCGTAAATGGCTTAATATAGCTCAGGAATCCTCGCTATTTCAAGCATCGGTATTATGGGCAAAGGCCGAATGTAACAGAAAAGAAATTCCCGATTCATTAGAGAACCAAAGAGCCGCGTTGGAACCGGTTATATCCGGTTTTCGTTTTTTGTCTATGACTAGTGCAGAATTTGTCAACAGAGTAGTACCCTCGGGAATCTTAACACAAGAAGAATCGTTGTGCTTGCTGGAACATCTGGTAGAACCCAGATCGGTAATACTACCCGATTATTTCAATAAATGTAACAAACTGAGAAATCAACCGTTGTTACAGAGTAGCCCGGAATCCTCTTGCATACTCACCTGCGACGAGAGCATCTGCCCAATTAAATCGGAGGCCAGAATGCTTTCTACCTTCACGATCACAGGTCGGTCTGTTTATATTGTAGGCATCGATTTCTATCTTTCCGATAAAAATTTCAATCGCGTAACAAAATGTAAACCTTTTGATCCAGTTTATCAGTTATCGGTGAATTCCTTATTAACTGTTATTAATCGTTCCACCGGATGCATTTACGCTTACCATTCCACTAGTTTATCGACTGATCAATATGGAAATGCTAGATTCGATTTTGGAGATCCTCTCTTCTTAAATTCGGGAGAAACGTGTCAGATAATTCTGGACATAGAAAGGAGCGATCGTCCTTTATTTTGGTGCAATGGCAAACACACCAGTGAAAGAGAATTTCAAGACGGTGTTACTTTCTGTTTTCGAGAGTCTTTAAAGTCCGAATGTTCTACACATTCGCACATTCATAAAATATTGTTTTGGATCATTGATTGATGTTAATGTTATGGAAATTCCGAGATATTTATCCAGAAGAAATGCTGAATTTTATTTTATACAAAAACATTAACTTATAATAAACAACAAATCTTAAATAAACTAATTTTTAAAAAAACAGGTATGCATTCAATTATTCGACTAATCGAAAGTTCGAATTCAATGATACACATTGAGATATCGGAACAACAATGCATTAAAAATGCAGTGTTGTTCCAAAAACCTGATGAAAATATTCAGCTGTGTATTCTTTAAAATCATACAAAGGAGATGGATTGTGGTAATCAAGCTAGTTGCAAATCATAATTTCGTGAATAAATTGCTTTCTCGATTTATTTATACGTTATTTGTTAAAAAGGTAGCTTAAATATTAAAAAAATGATAATTTGTAACTACATTTAAATTTTTATCAATTCGAAAAAAATCTAAGTTCAATATGATTAAATTGACTTCTTCCAATAACAAATAATCTTTGATTTTTTTTCTTTTTACTTTTTCCGCCCCGTGGACAGTAAGAAGGGTTTTTCAGGCGCATTGTGGGCATAGTATAAGCTACAAGTACTGTAGTTTTATATGAGGTAATGTTCTGTCCCCTAAGTTAATCTGCTTTGTAGCAGACGCTAGGAAGGGAAATCGCTAGACGCTAGAATTGGGAGAACGGTTTAGAAACGTTTCCAAAGTGCACACTACAGTTTTCATAAACTATGGGACGAAATAAATATTGAGGTTATAAAATATGAGAGTTTTTGTGATATTATTCAAAAATGTGAAAACATTTTTATAGAAGAATTTGAAACAAACATAAACATATCAGGTCTACTTCAGAATATTATCAATAGAACAAAAATCATTCAGTTTCGATGCCGAAATCTTGCGATATATTATCCAAATATCTTGTTCATCTGTTTTTGCGTACAAGCATCTTTTATAGTTTGAAATTTATAAACAGAGATATGATGTATGTATACATTCGCTAGTGAATATCTACATACATCTCACCTTCTACTTACACTAACAGTCTTTCCAAAAAAATTTAGAATATTCAGTTCATATTTAGTAGCTGTATATTTTAACAATTAACTGTTTATAAAGTAAATTCATTGAGAAAACTCATTATGACTAACATTCTAATGTTTGGATATACTTGTTACATTTTTTTGGAGGCTCGTACACTTATAAACAGTGGCGTAGCGTAGTGGGGGCGGCAGGAGCGGCACTTTTAGGGGGCGGAAAAATTTCATAATAAATAATAATATCTTGTAAAAAATTGAACCATTTCATTTCATATTTGTGTCGCACCTATGATTCGGACCGATTGAAATGAGCATGGAATTTTTCATTACTTATTCTGTGACGAAACTGAATTTTAGTCTTTTAAACTGAGATACCTAAATAAGGGGCAGCGAAATTTTCCTCCGCCCCGGGCGGCTGACACCCACGCTACGCCACTGCTTATAAACCTTGTCCAATTTTTGTTCTTTGTATATTCTGATTATTGATAAAATGTAAACAACAAGTTTACATTTCATCAACAATGTATTCCAAGTTGTAGCTTTCACTGCTTCAAAGCAAGATTCAAGCAGATTTTTTCTTTTAATATTGGTTAAATATGTATAAATGTGATTGACTTGCGAGGTATGAGTTATAAATTATCAACTAAGAGTTATGAGTTGTTAGGAAAAAGGGAATGTTTCGGAACAATATATTATCGTTAATTATCATATCTCAAAAACGGTTAACAAAACACATCAAATAAAACCAGTTCTTCGAAAACAAATTCTTCAAATTAATAAATTCAAAATATTACGGTTTTGATTTTTTTAACTCTTTACGCCCTGTGAGCACTAAGAGAACCTTTTTTTTGCAAGCTCATTATGGGTTCGGCCAGGCCCACAATGGGGCTGCAGGGTGGTGTGAGACGGGGCCCGACATATCCGAACGGACCACCTCCCGAAAAATTCCTGGGGATTTTTCGACCCGTTCGGATTCGAACCCGGGTCTGCCAGAGCGGTAGGCTGCCACCTTGACCGCTTACGGTTTTGATGTATATGATATGGACATTATGAATAATGACCAAATAGGGCGGGCAGTGTGATAAATATTGATTAATTTATCAAATTGACCGGTCATTATGAATACTGCTATCACCTAGTCGGGCAAAGTGATAATAATAAGTTGAGGAGTGATCATCTGACATACGCTAGCCAATCGGCACGCTGAGTTGCGTGTGCGTATCGTACAGCGTTTAGTACAGAATTTTAAATTTGATTAAAAAAACTCCACTTATTTCATTTATAAATATTTATTTTTTGTAAATTATATAAAAGTACTATTAACTATATTAATTAAACTAATATTAATGAAAAGTATTATTAACAATTTTTGGTATAAATTATATAAAAAATTAAATGTTTTTTAGTTATTTATTTGAGCAATTAAGATTTTCATGACATTTGGAATTACATAATTTTTTTATTTGCAGCATTTGCATCTAGATTTGCAACCAATTTTGCAGCAGCATCGACTATAGCCTTTGCCTCCAGAAATTGATGACATTCTTGCACATTCTCTAAGCGAAATTTCTGCACCCGGTAATCTCCAACTGAAATGAAGTTTTCTTTACAAACAGTAAATTGGTTTCTGGAATATAATAGATTTAATATGCCATGTTTGATACCCAGTTTGTAAAGGTTTTTATCTTTAACCGCAACAACGACACCTAAAATATTTTTTCCATCACTGCGGGCTCGATCTACATCAGGTACACGAATCCTTACTGTATCACCAACATTAGCTGCTGTGTACTTGGAATTTGATGTATTAATCATTTTTTCTACTTGCTTTTTAAGATTAAACAAAGCCATCTCCCTTGTTTTAGACACACTTCTTATTTTTTCTTCTATTTTTGGATCAATTGTTTGGATTGCTTCTTCTTCATTCACCAATTCTGTAATACTAATAACATCCTGGTTTAGATTTTTTCACGTGAAGACGATGTAGATCTTTGAACTTCATCAGTTATATTGCTATGTAAGGGTGGCATTATCAAATAATCTTTCATAATGTTTTCTTGTACGGTACCCGGACTTTCAAAGTTTGAGCAACTTTGACTTACTTCGTCGATAGCTTTAAAAAGTCTCTCTAGATCCTCTTCCGTATTAACGTTGATCAATGATTCGTTGGGTATAAAATTCTTTAGTCCAACTTTTAACTTTGCTCCAAACATGGCCTCATATGGGGCTGCAGTTTATACCAGTATGATGCGCTCGATTTTTCATCAGTTGTACAAAACGTAATCCTTCCGACCATTTGTTAGTATTGTTAGTCTCCAACCAAGAACTAAGCATATTTTCTAAGTCTTCATTACATCTTTCTACTGAACCCTGACTTTGTGAGTGCCTGGGCTTTCCATGCACCATTTTTAACTCGGACCACATTACATATTTCTTTGATGATGATATTGGCGAATTCTCTGTTCATTCAGAGCATTCAGAATGCTCTGAATAATTCGCTTACTCGGTGCACCGAAAATTGTAAAAATGTCTAAAAGAACATATGCTACTTCTTCAGCCCTTTTAGTTTTTAATTGTCGTAGTTGAAGGAATTTAGTTAGATGGTCTTGATACACGAGTATAAATTTATATTCCTCATCGGCTTGCGACTGCATATCTATAAGATCGACCTGACATCTCGAGTTCATTTTATTACATAAAATTGGTTTAACTACCAAGCCTTTCTTAGGAACATTCTTTTTTCTGACAGATTTCACACAAGTTCAAATAAATTATGATCATCTCCCTTGTAATATTTTTATATTTCGTACTTAATTCTTTTTCCATACGGTTTCTACCGCCATGTCAATAGCAATATGGGCATCGTGCAATATCTGAAATATTTCTTCCGTGTGAACGTAATATTTAATCGCATTACCTTCTTTTACAGGCGTAATTAATTTTTCTAAATTTCCGATAGATACAACGTCATATCTACGTAAACGCTGATATTCTTCCGGTAACTTAGAAGTAACTTTCATTTTTGACTCTTTCGCTTTTTGTATCATTGACAATTATGCTGATTTTGTAAAAATTTGATTGTTCTCACCTTTTTCTGCTATTAATTCATTTAATCGGTTGTTGAAGCGATTATTCATATGCAATACGCACGCGCAAATAAGATGCAAGTTTGATTGGCTAACGGATGTCGGATGATCACTCCTCAACGTATTATTATCTCTTTGCCCGACTAGGTGGTAGCAGTATTCATAATGACCGGTCAATTTGATAAATTATTGAAATTTATTACAATGCCCGATTTTGTTGGTCATTATTCATAATGCCCGTATTAATCACTTTGTCCATGACATATATACGGTATGTAAGGTGAGTAAATACGTTTGTTAATTACAAAATAATAATGGTTGAAAAATAAATCATTTTCTGACCACTTTCTTAAACGATTCTGCAAATTTTGATATAAATAAAAAGAAAAATATTAAACTACCCGACATCTTTTTGTATGAAAAATTTAATAAAAATTCTGTACAATTTTGTAATTGTACACAATAAAAATAAACTTAAAATTCGAAAAAGCTCGCTTATAATTATGTTTAGATCGTTCTTTTAATTCGTTTTTCAAAAAAGAATTATTTAAATTTACTGAAAACCACAAAATTAAAAGGATAAGAATACCACTTTTCGTGAAATTGCAATTTAAATTTTACAAACAATAATTTAACCAAATAAATTGACATAAATTGATTGGGGTCGACTGTACAAAAATTTAGCACAGTTTTATTTAAAATTATGTTTGCATTCTTTATGTTACGGAAAGATCTGGCGACACGGAGAGAGAGAGACGTGCAAGATCTTCCCATAACACTTTAGACAACAGTTCGAGTGAGAAATAAATTTTGGTTACATTTTAGATACGTATACTGTCATGGCGGCACTTCCTGTTGCTGCTGCGACTGGTAGCCTCGCTCCCGACGCCTTGGATGTTTGGAGCCGAGCGTTGTCATGTGATGCCCCTACCAGACTGGATCGTCGGGCGATGGTTGTTTCATGTGGTTTAAACCAGGTGGCGCTGGTAATATCTGCTGTTAATGTGCGGGCGCGCGCATTTCTTTTGCCTATGCGGTGGCGAATTCGAATTCGCAATTGATTTCGAGAATTTGACCTCGAGGAATTTTTTCCGTTGCTTAGAATTGGATCATTCGGAGGAAGGTATTGACGTTACGATACTTTCNAATAAATTATGATCATCTCCCTTGTAATATTTTTATATTTCGTACTTAATTCTTTTTCCATACGGTTTCTACCGCCATGTCAATAGCAATATGGGCATCGTGCAATATCTGAAATATTTCTTCCGTGTGAACGTAATATTTAATCGCATTACCTTCTTTTACAGGCGTAATTAATTTTTCTAAATTTCCGATAGATACAACGTCATATCTACGTAAACGCTGATATTCTTCCGGTAACTTAGAAGTAACTTTCATTTTTGACTCTTTCGCTTTTTGTATCATTGACAATTATGCTGATTTTGTAAAAATTTGATTGTTCTCACCTTTTTCTGCTATTAATTCATTTAATCGGTTGTTGAAGCGATTATTCATATGCAATACGCACGCGCAAATAAGATGCAAGTTTGATTGGCTAACGGATGTCGGATGATCACTCCTCAACGTATTATTATCTCTTTGCCCGACTAGGTGGTAGCAGTATTCATAATGACCGGTCAATTTGATAAATTATTGAAATTTATTACAATGCCCGATTTTGTTGGTCATTATTCATAATGCCCGTATTAATCACTTTGTCCATGACATATATACGGTATGTAAGGTGAGTAAATACGTTTGTTAATTACAAAATAATAATGGTTGAAAAATAAATCATTTTCTGACCACTTTCTTAAACGATTCTGCAAATTTTGATATAAATAAAAAGAAAAATATTAAACTACCCGACATCTTTTTGTATGAAAAATTTAATAAAAATTCTGTACAATTTTGTAATTGTACACAATAAAAATAAACTTAAAATTCGAAAAAGCTCGCTTATAATTATGTTTAGATCGTTCTTTTAATTCGTTTTTCAAAAAAGAATTATTTAAATTTACTGAAAACCACAAAATTAAAAGGATAAGAATACCACTTTTCGTGAAATTGCAATTTAAATTT